ATGATATCTTCAATTCTCTAATTTTGGTGAATATTTTGGTCATTTTTGGTAGAAAGTGATATTTTCAACTTCTTGTTAAAAACTGTAAGTCCGATTGCTTTGATACTATACATGTTGTTCATTTTCTAATGATATCTTCTGTTCTTTAATTGAAATGTGCATTGCTAACAGCGGAGCTATCTCAGCCGATAGGCTGCTTGTTTAAAATTTTTTCCAAAATTGTTATCAACCCCTGTAACTAAAGAAGAATTATGGCCATTCTGTCAAAAATTCAAAAAAATATTTATAGAAAAACACATAAAAATAGAAAATGTTGCAAGAAAAGGGATTAAAAAATGAGAATGATTTTGCACTCTCTGTTTCCATCCTTAGCCTTTTCACCACCAGTTCCCTCTTTTCATGCACAATTCTTCAGAAGATTGGGACAAAAATAGAAAATAGAAAAAGTGAAGAAAAATTTGGCAAAAAAGTCTGTGGTGAAAAGGTTAGAAATCTATGTGGCGCGGATCGCATGGATGGGTTTCATGTTCTCTGCACGTAATAAGCTCGGTTATTAAGCATCCTTTATTAGGGATGGCCGAGGGGAAGACGTGTAGTGGCGTGAAGCTAGGCGATTAGGTGCTGTATGCGAGCGTCGGTTTGAGTCACGCACGCAGTACGTGTTTACTATAATTAGACATAGTCTTTACCTTGCCGTTTATTTGGTGTTATTTGCTTACTTTACTTCCTATGTCGACAGCAACTATGCGTTTAGAAATCACATGGTTTTAATTCATGTTCTATATATTGTATTTGTAGTGAGATCCGGCAGTGATTCTGGTGTTGGCTCTGCAGAACAGGTTAGTGTTTTATGTAATGAATAATACATGACATTAATATGACATTAAGTGAGTAATTAAATAATTAATACATAACTTATTGATTGAACTACTTGATGAAGAGTTGTCGCCAAAACGGTTTCAATTAAATTGTGTATATTCTTCATGCAACAGTAAAGATCATTTTCCGTTCACTGCGAGAATCACGCGTTATACGTGAAATCAAATGTAAAAACATGTAACGACAAAGGTCATAGTGTCGTAAAATATTTTGGGGGCATTTCCATGCTTAATAATGTGCTGTACACATTTGATGATAGACAATTTCGATTAAGTGAGGGTATTCGAAAGCAATATTCCTCTGTCGAAGATCGGCCAGTCTATGTGAGCTACGAAATAATATAATTCAAGTTCAAAATCAAATCGTTTGATTTTTGCGGCAGATGTTCTAAGCGCCTCTTTCATGCATCTCGCGAGATCTCGCAGTTGAACGGAAAATCAGCCTGCATGTGTACACGCAGACTTCACTTTATCAACACCGCTAGAAATGCAGTTCAGCTTTTATGCAACTATTTTTGCATTTGCACCATGCATTTATGGCATTCTAGTTGTCCATTGATCACACTCGGACCATACTTTTATCACTTATTTGCATTTTACTTTTACAAATTTTAACCACGACAGTAGCAATCATAACTTTCGTGGGAAAACACCACCACGTCTGCAAGATTATTCCTTCAGCATAATAATCCAATAGAACATAAAATTACTGTAGCTGAGCTGATCTATTTAATCCCCAGTGTGGCGCTATAAAAAGTGTGATGGAAATATACACTACATGTGCATTACATCACAAGAATGCGAGTGACTGGTTGGGCGAATGCTGTACTGTAGTCAAGTGTTACAGTACATTCTCGCAATTTACATTCCTTTTTTCATTTCTGACATTTCCTTTCTGCTTCTAAAAGTGTGTAAGGTTTTCTTCCGATGAACCCCAACAGGTATTTATGGTGTGTTAAACCTGGGATAATACTTGTTGTGATATTAAAACTAAATAAAATATCATTTCATATTATCACAGAGAAGAGATATCAATAGATAGATAGATAGATACCATTCCACTGTTCATACATCCTTTGTACAAATGTATTGTCTCATTCTAAGTTCAGTCTGGCTGTGACTTTAACCTTTTCACCACCAGTTCCTATTTTCATCACAAATTCACAAAATGTTCCCGTTTATAGTCCACACTTTCCTTATGAAGTTTGAGACAAAAACTGAAAATTGACTCAAATTTTGCCTGCTGGCTCCAAATTTAGAGTTCATTTTCAGAAATATTGAAGAATATAAGAAAAAAGTGCAAACAAATGTGGGTGATAAAGTCTGGTGGTGAAAAGTTAAAATTCCTGAAGGTCACACATCCTTGTAGTTATGTGGGGTTCAAATTCACTACAAATGAACATGTCTCTATTATTTATTATGAAAATGGCAATATTAAAACACATTAGGGAACTTCTTGCTGTTATATGCAATACCTGCAGAAATTGCTTGGCTTTAATGGAATTTTATTTCATTTCTGCTTTCACACTTTTACTGCTTGTTGTATTTTTCCTTCACCGTGTTTCCTTTAACAGAAGTATGGTTCAAGTAGAAGCCTTTATAGTCATATTTTAGATTTGTAATTTTTTGTTTTGATGTATTTTCTGTCTCTGTATTATCTCTGTTGTAAGTAATTTCTAAATAGAGTCCTGTTTCAGATTTGCGGTCCTACTAATTACGTTAGCATTCCTATGGATCAAATGGTATTGTCCTATTGTTGAACACTAGTCAACATTAGTAAACAACATGGCGGACTTGACTCACCGAAATGCCCGGGCATTGATCATAAAAAGTGGTGATAGCTGCTGAAATGTGCGACTCTGTTTCAAATTTTGAGCACAAACAACATTATACAGTAGAAGAATTGCTGCCACTGCCCTGTGATACTTATTTCCCACTGTTTGTTCCCACGCTTTAATTAGTAAGACCCCAGATTTGTCGTTTAGTTTCTATGTTGTGGTATGTTATATTTCATTGTATATCTAGTATACTTAGGGTAGAATTTTTCTTTAACATTGTGTTCTATGGAATCGTTCTAAAAAATAGCAATTTTCAAGAAATATTTGGACACATTTCTCAAAAAGCATAACTGTAACACACAAAACAATGCTATTTCATTGTACCATGGGACATTAGCTTCATGACTGTACATAATAAACTAATGAACATTTTCATGGGATTTATGACCAATTTTGTCAAACATTATGACTAGGCTCCTACCACATTACCTGCTGAGAATATTTTGTTTACGTTCATTTTGGCTATCAATGGATGTATTCAGTGGGCATTGTGTTAAAATTCAAAATATTAATGCCTAACCGGCGAATCATATTTCCTCATACCAACATTGACTGAATTCAAAATTAGATATACCCCCGGTACATAAAAAAATCAATTACTGTAGAATACTTTATTTTCGCTTGGAACTTATTTTCGCTATTTTCGCTGAAGGAATGATTCAGTGAAAATAAAATCCAGCGAATATACTTTTTT